TGCTTACGACCGTGCAAATCTTTCGGTCGTGTTTTAACCCACTTCCCGTGATCCAATCGAGCTGACATTTTGCACACAGACTCGTTGTGCGTGACAATTACTTTTCGTGAAAATAAAAATTCCAAAATTTTACATTGTTTAGGGAATTTTTTAAAAATATTTTATTTCCAATTGCTTAATGGTGGCAGACAATCATCGGACCCATAGGTGGCAGCCATCTCAAGCCAGAGGACGAGAGGACTCTAGCCGCCCCGATGCCACGCATATAAAGGATTTATAGTGAAAAACTTTGTTTTTACGGGTTAATTTTTTTCCAATATTAAGAAGCCACCGGAGCAATGCAATTTTAAATCTAGATAAAAAATTACTTTCTTTTACTGATTTTTGTGTTTAGTTTGTTGTCCGTTCCACACGCACCTCCGATAAGCACGGTTGGCTACGTACGGTGTGAAAGAAGTTCAACATACATACGAAACAGTGGCGGAGTAACGACATTATCAGCTCAGGGGGTGTGGCAATCAGTCAGATGTGGGCCCCAATATTTGATTTGTCTCGCACGGTCGCACCTAAAGTCTGTTATATATCGCGGCTCCTCTTACTTAATTACATCATTAAGTTCACGGTCTCGAACATTTAACGCTGTAGGGCAGGGAGGGGGTTGGGCGGTTGGGCGGTTGGGCGGTTGGGGGGGGCAAGGCACCCTTGGCCCCACCACACTCGTTACGCTACGAACCAATCGCGGCTTCCTCGCTCGCTGGGTGTAAATTAGAAACGTCGCCGCGATTCAACGCGAGCGGCGAACGTTGCCGCCCGAAAGGGCATCTTTACTTTTTTTGTTCGCGAGGGGTTATCGATGCGTTAAGAAATGCGTATTTATATTTCATTGTTTATTAAACATTCACGGCGCTCATTATAAAGTCTAATAAGCATTATTTTTTTATTTCCATTTCTTCAAAGCGTGTAATTAAGCGGTCTGCATACCGGGGAAAAAAATTATGCCTGCGGAAAATGCAGTATGAGCTTGTTTGTACATGTAAAAAATATATTAATATTGCTTCAGTGTCGGCTTGCTTCTGTTTTTTTAATTATTGTAACAATGCCCTTTGATTACACTGTTCAACACACTTTTTCTGGCATAAGGTATTCCAACGGTTTTAAGATAATTTTGGGGTGCTGATTCCAAATCTGGCATCAGTTTTTGTCTATCACATCAGGTTTTTGAGATATCAAATATTGCATTTTCAATCAAAACTGCAGAAGAAAAATATTAAATAAATGTGGATATCTACATAAAATGATATTATAAACACACTATACTAAAAATACAGCAGCATATTTTAACACTAAAGCAGTCACTGACTCGCAACAACTTGCAATCATAAGTGACAGAGTTAATTTCGGGTAAAATCAATGAAAATGGGGTATGCTGACAGCATAAAAATGAGATGTGATAGAGCAAATCTGAAATCAGATTTGGAATCAGCACCCTGAAATTAGTCCAACAGCTGCAAAAGTCCAAGCCAGAAAAACATGTTTTTTTTTTGTTGACCAGTGTTATCCAAGCGAGTCTCAGGATGCTCTTTTCAAGAAGGTCCTGCACGCACCTCCGTTTGGCCAACACTGAAGACGGTTTTCTGGAGGCCTGCATCCAGCAGTAGATGGAGCACGACTGACGGTGACAACGATGATTGGTTCTCGACGAGCTTGACCAAGCCTCTCTCAAGCCTCCACCGCACACCAACAACAAAGTTTAAAGGCGCAGCCCTGCAATGCCTTGTTTTCACGCCTGAACGTGGAGCGTCCCCTCTGGGGAGACGGTGTTTGGCCAATTCCGCCACGCAGAACAGGCCGTGTTGGAATAGGTGCGAGTTCCTACGATTTACCCCCCCCCCCCCACTCACTCACTGCCGATCAACGAGCTGTCTGGGTGGACGAGTATGGGAATAACAAAAACAACAACCTGGGCTTACTTTGCAGTACTCGCCAGTAGCGTAACGAGCATGGGGCAGGCAAGGGGGGGGGGCCTGTTGCCCCCCCCCTCCCCATACCTGGTGGCGAAAGCTACGAGTTGGGGCCCCCTTGACAACTTCCGTGAGATATGTTTTCAACGACAGGGTAAAACAACAACAACAACAACAACACGTTAAAAACGCGGTTACATTTTTTTTGTAATGAACATTTTTTTTCATTTGCGTCCCACGTTTTAATTGAACTTAATTAAAATCAAAATTTGGGGCCCCACCTGACCGATTGCAGGCACACCCCCCCCCACCCCGAGCTGACAATGTCGTGGCTTACGCCACTGCTACTCCCTGAACGCTTTCGCGGTCGCTGGGTAGACTGGTTAGACTGTAGTAGGTGGTGCATGACCAGCAGCCTGCAGCCATGGCGAGAGAGAGATCATTCTGGACCAGGTGTGCCGGGCGCTGACGTATTTTATCGGATCGCCCACGCGGACAGGGCCCAGCCGCAATGAAGCCATGAACAGAGAGCATCAAAACACCGCAGCGCCTTCGAAGACTATTCACGCTGAGCTCAAGGTGCTGTCGAGAAGCGCGCGTGTGATTGACGAGATAATCGCGGGTTATTTCAAACGAACGCGCCCCGTCTCGCTGCTTTTGTCGCTGACAGGAGCCGCTAAACCACGCCCGGGTCGCCGCTCCCTCTCTGGCAGGGGAGAGAACAAATGATTGGCTCTCGCTGGTGGCTTCAAATGATCGGGCGGCGGCGGGGGGGGGGAACCCCGTTCATCACAGCGAGCTACCGCGTTCTCTGGATTATAATTTGCAGTCTCCCCACCCCCAACGTCTCCCACAGAATTTTTGAGCAAAAAATGTGCTTCTGCCTCTTTATAATCTGGTAACTGTGTGCGTGTGTGTGTGCGTGAAAGCAGATTGATTTTACTTTATTGACACCGGGCACAAGTTGTGGGGTGCATCTTACTTTCTGGATCGTCTTATAATCTGGAGGATACGGTATTTATTTAAGAGAAATTGCAGTTCTGAGAATTAAAAAAATTGGTTTTGCTGCCATAAATTTCCACGTGATAAGCCACTTCGTTGAGCTATCATTTGAAAAATAAACTAATAGCTCAGTGGGATTACGTGTTGAGATAAAAAAAAGTTTCGTTTTGTTTCTGTATATATTGAAATGATTTGCGTACATTTCCTATACTTACACTTCTATCGTTATTTTTTATTGTTGTAACGTACTGCCCTGCCCCTACTGGACATCTGCGACAAAAGCTTAATAGCTCATCGGATTCCTCCAGTATAAAATAAACATTCCGATTCTGATATTTCTTTATAGCAGGACATACGGTACCCCCCCTCCCCCCCCCACGAGTGTGGATAAAGTGTTACGAGTCACTGCCAAGGGAGATCTCAGAAGTAGCTCTACGAAATCAACTTCAGTGGGCAGCTCTCTTAACACACGGGCCGATGCACTGCTCACCGTGAAAGAGAGTACCACGTGGTCCTCTTCATCTCGTGCCGAGTCGCCGGCAGCACACTTGCAATAAAAACTGAGGTGGAGGGGAGCTAAAGCGAACCCCTCGAACAGAGATCACGTATAAACAGAAGTGACCACACGTCCTTGGAGTCAGAAAGTGTTGTTCGTGCGCGTGCACATACACTTAATGTATCGCTGCATACAATTAAGGTAATTGGACACACCACGTAAATAAAGCTGTTGCAAACATCCTGCCCTTGTGCAGACGTGTAATAATACAAGCCTAATTGGCAGCCACAAGACTATAACGCGGCCTCCATCTGTCCCTCTCGACGAAGGCATCTTTTTATAATCGTTATCATTCGCTACGGGTAAAAAAAAAATTGCGATTGAAATATCCGATACCGTTAAACAATTGTTATTTAACCGAGCCAAAGTTAGCCGTTTGAGACGTCTTTTTTTTCAGTCGGGTCCTGTCTAACAAAAACACAAGTTGCTCGCAAGGGCCCCTTTTGTCGATCCATTGCTGGATGAGGAGTCTCTCCCACGCCCGTGCGTGTCGCGGGGGTTATTTGACCATGCGTCACCACGCTGGTCAGTGTGGGTTGGTGAATGTGGGGAACATGGACGTGGGAACATAGAAGTACATAACAACAGTGGATTTTGCTGAATTTCCCTCTGCTGCTCGCAATGTAGATACATACACGGCGGGGGGGGGGGGGGGCAGTGTTTATCCCCGCTGCCCTCTAAACCCCCCGCATCCTGAGTTCGATTTCCGACCACGGCTAACATCAGTGGCGAGTGAAATCGGATTTGTTGCTGCCTCCCACTCTTGCCACTTCCCCGACCCAGCCACACCGTCGCTCAGTGACCGTCGTGGTGATGTATGGCCTTACATACCTCCTCCATGACTGGCTTCGCATGGACAGGCCTTCTTCAATCCGTTGGAGTATTGACAATGGCTGGCAATGATTATATATTTTATTTCAACTGCAGATGTGGAACGTTTCGGTGAAATAATTGCGCTAATGAGTACGGGAAGTGAGGGGGAGAGTTGGCGGACAGGGGGTTCTCACTCGGCAGTGATTTTGTGATTGTCGGTAACTGCAGCCAAGAGAGTTAATTATAGGTGGCAGGTTCGTGTCTTGAATCGGAATCTTTCCTGAGCCCTGTGCGGCATCGTTAAAAATCGCGAAACCTTTTGAGCACTCCGCGAATTCGGGAGCGGCACAATCCTCCTGCTTTACCTTCCGAAATCCTTGGCGTAGACGTATCCGAAAGCAATTCCCAACGACCTTCTCGCGAGACGGGGGGAGACGTGAACACACACCAGCTTTTGAGATATTCAGGGTTTATTTACTTCCAGCCGGATTGTGTCCGCGGTTCAAGACCCGGAAAATATTCCCGTGCCCTGCACACCACATCCAGCACACCTCTCGCTACGGCAGCGGCGACTGGCCAGTCACGTGCCACGACCCGGAAAAATGCTCGGTCGAGACTTCCGAAAGCCCTGGCGCCGTTCACGTTGTCGTATTTGCAAACCAGCCGGTCGAATGTAACCAGACATTTGGCGTTGTCGGGCGAGGGTTAACCACATGGTTGTTGTTTTTTTCTTTGATCGTTGAACGACGAGGCGGGGGCGAGCGGCCCGGTGCAGCAATGGCAGATTGCTGAGTGTCATCCCAGAGCAATTAGAGGGTTTCAAGCCGAGAGAAGCGAGCGGGGTGCGTCGCTGTGGGGGGGGCGGGGGGGGGGGGACAGACAGGGTCGCAGAGGGGAGGGCAAACAACTTGAGCTTTGGAACTGCAATTAAAGCCGCTTTGTCGAGTTCACCGGTTTCGCCCGGAAGACTGTGAACGACCGTGAGATTGACGGCACGCGCGCACGTGCTGTCATGTTTCAATGCGTCGTTTTGTGATGGGATTTCCTGTTAAAATATAAACAAAAACAAGAACAGGAATTTTCACAGCCTGCGTTGGAAGCTGGGATTCAGCCACATGTGATTTAACCCGAGTTCTCAAGAAGAGCGTTTTTTTGTTGTTCTCAACAACTCTGAGAAAAAAGAAATGTTAAAAAAAAATATTGTGTTGACTGCCATGTGATGAGCGTTTCTATGTGGCTGGCTTGGAAGCAGGCCCTTTAGCGTTTGGATAAGAGGTCGTCTGATGGAATCTTAGAAGTAGTTCTGGGATATCCCGTCCACGGGCCGTTCTCCAACACATGGAGGTGTACTGCTCGCTTCGAGAGTTCCCTCGACTCATGACCTGAGTGAGGAAAACAGCGCAATTGGAATGAAATCTGAAAGGGAAAAAACCTCAGATGAAACTAAACTTGCAAAGAAACCAACGTATTATTGTGTAACACTTTCCAACATCCGTCCACCCTCTGATTTATTCAATCACACCTCGTGTGGTCGTTGTGAGTGCAATTTTTTTTTGCATATTTGGGAAATAGTCCTTTGAGTGCCGGTTCATATCTCACAAGTTTTAAGCAACCCCGTTTTTTTTTATCGATGCTGCCGGTTTTCATTCGGCTAAGTCCCGAATAGTAACACAACGTTCTACTAAAGTTCTGTTCATATTGAATCATCTTGATGAGAAATATTCTGCCCCCCCCCCCCCAACCACGGCCGCCCCCACAATACCGAGAGACAAAGTTAATCCACGAATGCGTTCAGCCTTAACTTGAAAAGCCTTAAAAATGTAATCTTAAAAAAAGAAACTCAGGCATCCTACGCAACGTTGCGGTTCTTGTCCAGCCAAAGGCGTTTGTTGGCCGATTGAACGCGACGAGTCTTGCAATATAAATGGGCACCACAGTGGCTAGGAGATGTTAACTACCTTGCCTGCTATACAGGAGGTCGTGGGTTCGATCCAGACCTTGACGTCTGCTGTATATTTGGAGTTTGCGGTATCTCTTTCTCTCTCATCATCATCATCACTGTGGCTAGGAGATGTTGACTACCTCGCCTATTATACAGGAGGTCGTGGGTTCGATCCCGACCCTGACGCTTGCTGTATATTTGGAGGTTGCGTGTCTCTCTCTCTGTGGTCGTGTGGATTCTTCACCGGGTCCTCCGTTTTTTGGCTGCTATACATATCCACATGCTATTGTGTGTGGCCAGGTCACTTCTGAGAAAGAGCGATATAGTTCAGTGGGCATTACCTGGTAAAATAAAAAAAAATCTTTAAATAGGTGAATAAATGGGAGCTGCCAGCTCCTCCTGGGAGTTGGGAGTTGTAGGGAAATGCGTTCGCAAGCTGGGCGGTGTGCATCAGCCGTGGCACGGCATGCATACAGTACATCTCTTAAAAGATAAATATTGGCAAATGCATTGTATTGACCGTTAAGCAGTGTAGAGAGAGAAGTAAACTTATTTTTTTTATTTTAGCAAGAGGCCCACTGAGCTAAGTAGCTCTTTTTCAGAAAACGACCCGGCCACAAATGATAGCTCAACGAAGTGGCACATCATGTGGAAAAAGATAGCAGCCAAATACTCTAAACACATACATTTCGTCTTACAACTTTCGTGGATGACACGTTTGTCATCTGGCCACATGGCCGACCGGCTCTGAACCAATTCCTTAACCACATCAATTCCATACACCCAGCCATCAAATTCATCATGGAGGAACAAAAGGATGGCATGCTACCTTTCTTGGATGTCCTAATCAAAAAGAGACCAGATGGCTCATTGAGCCATTCTGTCTACAGGAAAGTAACCCATTCTGACGCCTATCTAAAACCTGATTCCCACCACCATCCATCCCAGAAGAATTCCCTCATCAAAACGCTACAATGTATCTCCGAGCATGAACACATAACCAGTGAACTCAAACACGTACACCAAGTTCTCAAGGTGAATGGATATTCTGACGACACAATCCGCAAAGCCATCACCCCAACCGCGAGGAAGGAGCCAACTGAGGATCAAATAAAAACCACCACCTTGCTATACATAGCAGGGGTAACCAAAGAGATTTCCAAAATCATGAACAAACACACGATCCAAGTCTGATTTAACACAGTACATAAAATTCGTGATCTGATCCCATCTGTGAAGGACAAGATTCCTGACATGCAATATCCCGGCGTCTACAAACTAAGCTGTTTTTGCGGCAGCAGTTACATTGGGGAAACTAAGCGACATGTCTCGGACCGTGTTCGTGAGCATAAGGTAGATGTGAAACACGGTAGGACCAATACCTCGGCCGTGGCGGATCATTATTTTAATGCAGCTGGTTCACACGAAATTGATTTCTCGAAGACGACGGTACTTTGCAAGCCTACTGGCTATCAACAAAGATTCGTTCATGAAGCCATCCATATATGCAGACACAGACACAATTTCAACCGAGAGGATGGTTATAAACTCGGCAATCATTGGAAAGATGTCATCAACCACTTTGAGTCATGACTTGATTTGTGTTTTCTTGTCAACCTCCACCGTCAGCAGTGTGGGTATGTGAAGCAAGGTGCAATAATTGCCTGGCAGCCCTTTGATTGGTGGAGACCAGGGGTGGGGAACGTCCGCTCCGCGGGCCGTATAAGGCCCGAGAAATCATTTGGTCTGGCCCTGCCAAGGCAACCGCAGGCGGGACTCGAAATTCAATAAATCTAGGAGTAAACCTGGAAAAGCAGTCGCGAGTAGCAACATCATCAATACCAGCTAACATCACACGCCTCGCCAAAGAGAAGCAGTTCCAGCCAGCACATTAGGGGTGAGTTAATTAAATGTTTGACCAAATATAACAGGCTAATTTTTAAGTTGATAATTTTGTATGGCCCGCGAATGATGTTATACATATCCAAATGGCCCCTGGCAGAAAAAAGGTTCCCCGCCCCTGGTGTCGACACACTGCGTTGGCGTTGCTTTCTCCAACATTAACATTAGAGTATGAATCCTTGCAGTCACGAAAGCTTCATATCTAGAATTAACATTAGCTGCCCCACCCATGCTGCTGACACACTTGGGCTACGCCCATCTCCAAACCTTTATAAACAATTTGCTTTCCTGATGACGACCGCTTGTGTGAGTTCTGGTTCATCAATCGAACCGGCCACGTAGCGTCGATCTCTATCGAGTTCAGTGACACCGGGACTTGGGCTGTTGCACCTCATACATGAAAGAATGATTTCAGACTGCTGGCCAATGTGTTCTGTGAGTGGTAAATGATGGTTCAGCGTAACAGAGGCTTTGGCACGGAAGAAAAAGCCCAGCTCGTTCGATGCCTGCCCAGCCAGATTGGTAAAAAACAAACGTAAGCAGAGCTCCACGCTGTCTCTCACCATATGAATATTTATGTTTTTTGTTGTTATTGTTAAGCCTGTCAGCCCGTCGGCTTTCCTGACCAATATTACGAAGTAGCATTTGTCAATTCTAGATTTGAAGCTTTCGTGACTGCAAGGATTCATATTCTTAGGTTTTTACGGTAAAGTCACGTAGGTAACAAATTAAAATTAATAAAAGTAAAATAAAAATAAAAATCACGACGTTTCGGAGGCAACACAAGCTTCCGTCTTCAGGTGGAACCGTCACAGCCCGACAGCTGTATCAAGTAAATGAGAGATTACAGGAGATACCACTCCGTATATATAATGGTTGAGGGGAGCATTTGTCAAAGCAAGTAGACTCTTGGAGGGACTAAAGGGACTTTTGTATTTGCGTTTACCCATCGCTGCTCCACGGCAGGGCGTCGCGAGTCTCCCGCACGGCGTCGTCGCGACGAGGCGCCGCCGAGATCTGTCGCTCCGAAGCGGATCGATGGATCGACTACGGCCAAGGGGTAACGTCGTCGCACTTTGATGGGAGGAACTGTGGCGTTGCCTTGCCTTACGTGACGGCAAAGATAGTTGAGAGAGAGAGAGCGAGAGATGGTGGCGGTGGTGATGATGGAGGGACAGGGGACTTTGCGCTGCGGCAGACGCGGCGTTGGGAGACGTTCCACGTTGCAGCCCCAAGGAGGGGTCGAGGCGCCCTCCCAGAGACGACCGCGGCTCCATGCGGCCTCCCGGCGGGGCTGTGTTTAATTGAAGATCATCTACTAGCGGTGCGCTGCGGGGGTGGGGAGGGGGCATTACGCAAACACGCAGAAGCCCGTGTCGGCACATTACACCTGCCCTTGCGCGTAGCCATCCACTCCTCCTCCTCCTGCACCCTCCTCTTCTTCTCGTTCTCTCGCTCTCTCTCGCTCTCGTTTTCTTCGACACTAATGCTTTCTCTGGATCGCGCGCTCTCTCTCTCTCTCAATTGTTCTCCAAGGTATTTGCGTGGGAACAATCTGTTCCTGCCCGTCCTCCCAAGTGACCTTCTTCCTCCTGCGCTCGTGGCGTGTTATTGTTGCAATGGTTGTGTGAGGTTGTGCGTGCGGTAGCACGCTGCTCGCTTAACAGCAATTGCCCCCAACAATCTTTTAAGGCCATACGGGAGGGTGGGGGGGAGATCGTTGTTTTTGGTGGCGCGGTGCACGTGTGGCTGCGTGCCACCGCTGGTGCAAGTGGCACGCGTGGCTCGTGTGCCACCACTGGTGCAGTGCCCGAGACCCCAGCGGGAGGCGCGGGATTGGTCGATCGGTTTGGTGCGGGTCGCGCTAAAATCTCGACCCGCGCCTGCGAATAAACCCGAGGCTGCGAGGTGGTTAGTAGGGCGACAGCACAGGACGTGTGTTTTTCAGTTCGTGTTATCTCGTGCGCGTGGGTTTTTCATGAGGCTATCTGGTTTTATATTATTATTATTTTTTAAATCATTATGTAATTCATTTTTTTCCGGGGGAGGCGTTGGTGAGTCTCTCGTCAAAATTCAAGATCCTCCTTTTTTGGAATGTTTGGTCGATTCATTTGTGAGCAAATAATTTTTTTCACGGTTTCTTCCCATAACCAAAGAATTGTCCAAATATGCCCACAACATGAGGCCCCTTGGTAAAAAGAGTATTGAGACTCAGTCACGCTCTCCACGACGGACGCTTGTGTTGCGCCCGAAACGTCGTGATTTATTTTATTTAATACCTATGTGACTTTACCGAAAGAACCAAAGAGTATGGATTCCTGCAGTCACGAAAGCTTCAAATCAAGATTAAAAGGCGTTGTTATAGCCTAATGAGGGATTGCATACGAGAGAGCACGTCTGCCGTGGAGATGGAGCGATGGGATTCCAGCTGGTGTGCAGGAGCGAGAGATGGATTGTGGCATCGCAGGAAACGTGAGGGATGGCAATGGTGTTGGGTGGGGGAGGGGGGGCACGCAATCAACCAGAAGTGGATAGTACTATCAATGTTTCCTCGGTAAAGTACATCATCATGTTATTAATTCATGACTTAATCTTCATCAAAGTGCACTGACCACAACGGCGACGTTACCGTCACAGCAAGACTTTCACGAGAGAGAAAAAAATGCAACTGCTGACCGATTACACTGTGTAACAAAAACATTTTTGTTTGTTCCTGGGTACTAAGTGTTATTTTCCAATTGCTTATGCCTCAAAAGTACAGAAAATGGCTTATTCCCCACAAACTTTGCTTTTGTGACCAGGACAGTGATATTTTTAAATGTACCTATTTTCAATGAGAAAGTGTCCATTTGTATCTGTCGTTCGCATAAAGTCCTTGTCACAAAAGCAAAGTCTGTGGGGAATAATAGCCATTTTCTATAATTTTGAGGCAAAAGCGATTAGAGAATAACACTTACTACCAAGGAACAAAAACCGTGTTCCATAGTGTTATCCTTATGACGATCACTCGAGAAGAGAGGTCCCCCTTCTGTATTGACTCACCAGGGTCCGGTCCTAAGACGAAGACACACTCAGGACCCTGGCGAAACAAAAAGCAATTTTGCCGCTGACTCCCTCTTCACGAGACGAGCACAGCGGTGCTGCCCCCATCCCCCCAGTGGCGGCCACCGGGGAAGGGTGAAAATCCATCCATCCCTTCATTTCCTTGGACCTCGCAGCCAGAAGATCGTGAGGGCTCCAAGTGGCCTCTCTGTGGAAAAGAGAAAAAACCACCGTGAATTGATTATGTGGGCCGCGCGGGGTCACTGGTGGGCTCTTGACCAGTGCCGAGAACAGGGCAGTTTTTTGTATTATTCCGTGTCCCAGCAAAATCACGCCTTTCTAATACCCGCGCTAGCACGGCGATTACCATCGCCGTCCGTCTCGACAGACCCCCCCCTCGCCCGCCCTCGCGCGCCCCCATCGCCGAACCTCTCCTCGGCAACCTCGGCCATTCGTTGGTGTATGGCGCGCGAAAACAGCGAACAGGTGGCCATAATATTTAGACGTTTACAAAAAAAAATGTGAAAGATTGATTTTTGTTGTTGTTGTAAGCAATTTAATGAGCAGGGTCCTCATCGACTGCACGATTCACTGGCCAACGTTGGTGGAAATGGCTCCTGTTTAATTGTGGATGAAAAGAGGGGTAGGCCTTCTAATTACACCGATACTAATTGCCAGAGTAATAACCAGGAGTGAGGCTGGAAATAATCTTACAAAGTCTGCGTCATGGCTGCCACAAATTCCATGTGGCTGCACGCTTTGTCTACAGATGTAATTCGCGAGTTTCGTTCATTTCTATGTTAACTAAATAAGAAGAATGCCGCTAGTAAGGAATTGTCAAGCTTGCTGCTTTTTATTTTCTTAAAATGTTGTCTTCACGTGCTTACATTTTTTTTTACGATCTGCAGTGGAAATGTTTATTCCCATTAAAATAGTATCAAACGTAAAAAAAACATATATCTATTTTGACCCTACTGACACCCCCAAAAAAATCCACAAAATAAAATAAGGTTACGTGAATTCCGCTGGTGCTGCCTGTTCGGGAACGCTCACGGCCGCGCGCGGAGATTGTTCGTGGCACAACGAATCTGAAAGCAAATTCGGCTTCACGTGCCGTCGCAGAAGACAGCCGCAGCGGCCTCAACATCGATTTCGACGTCGCCGTCAGGTCTGAGAGAGAAAGCCGTGACCTCCGATGACCCTGGCTGCTGTCTGAGGGCCTCCGCGCATAATCCAAAGCAGCAGCAGCAGCGTGGCACCAAAACGAGCGCGTGTACCTCGTTGCGTGTGACAGGCTCCAAGTCTTTCGATTGTCTCGCTGCTCGCGTAGCTTTTCGCCGGCTCGGCTGTGAAATTCTCCGGCGTGTTTTCGGGCTGCGACGCCTGCTGTCGTGACGTGTTCGCGCCACGTGCCCGGAGCTTCGTCGTTAATTGTTCAGCGAGCGAGCGGTACAAAGTGCAAACGCGTCCAAGCACGGATGTTTTTGTTGTTGTTGTTGTTGTTGTTTTTCTCTGCGCACGTGTCGTCGCCATGGTAGTGCTCTAGTCGGCTCCGCCAGATCGTCTCGACCGCGTGATTGGCCACTCGCCCGCTCCGCGGCTACCCGTGGGCCCTGATTGTGAATGAAACATGAGCTAGACTTGACAAATTCTAACGCACTTGTCACATTAAAAACATTTGAAAACTCATTTTTCCCCTAAACTTGATTCCAATCGTGTTATTAGCATCGTCTCGTGAGACAGCGCATTCATCCGAAACTCCCGAGGAGCGGTGCATCACCACCCCGCGTGGAACAGAATGGGCCTACGGAAGAACATTTGAACATCATTTCAGAGTTCGTTTGACCTCTTTCAATCTGACCTCTTATCCACGCGCGAGAGGGCTCTGCACCTTGGCACGTGCGGCCCTGCCTTGCAGGATTGTTTGTCGCGTGGCGGTCAAACCGACATTTCTAATTCTTCGAGCTGGAATTTTGCCCCCAAAATTCTCGTGAATTCCAATTTTACCCACAGCCGTTGGCTTTGTGGCGCAGCCGTTAGTATTAGGGCCGCGAAGCCACCTGAACCTGCAGGTGGCCAACATCCAGCCTTGAACCCGGGGGCTCTCAGCGGATTGCCGGGCACACAGGCGCCTTGACCCCTGAACAGACACCCGGTCACCTCGACCCGACGAAATTTTTTTCGGCCGGGTGAGCATTGCCAGGCGAGATGGTCACGATTGTGGCGAGCGCCACCCCCACCCTGCGCCCCCCCACCACCCCCGGCCTTAGGGACGTGGCGGCACGCCGAGTTGGACAAATTCAGCGACGCGTGCCGCTCAACAGCTGTGTACAGCTGCGGGCCTGGATGTATTATTAAGGCCGTGGCATTGTGCGCGCGCGCGCTCGCAGTCGGGCGCCCTCCCTCCCCTCCCTCCCCTCGCTTTCTCCCTCCCCTCCCTCCCTTCCCTCCCTGCTCTCCCTACCCTTCCTCCCTCCCCTCCCTCCCCTCCCTCCCTCCCTACCCTCCCTCCCTTCCCTCCCCTCCCCTCCCCTCCCCTCCCCTCCCACCCCTCCCTCCCTCCCTCCCCTCCCTCCCCTCCCTCCCCTCCATCCCTCCCCTCCATCCCTCTCACCCCTCCCCTCCCTCCCCTCCCACCCTCCCACCCTCCGTCCCTCTCACCCCTCCCCTCCCTCCCCTCCCCTCCCTCCCCTCCCCTCTCTCCTTCATTGTCCCGGGGCCGAGGAGCCGACGGCAGATTGCGTCGTTTGCTCGTGAGGCTGTTGGTCGTTGTTGCACCGTCCCATTGCATTTTGCTGGTTATCTTGTTTACATTTTTGATTGTTATTATGCTTCCCCTGTCTCGTTCCTGTTATGCTGTCGTGAAATAATGTGTCTATTTGGAGCTTTGGAAGAACAGCGCACCCACAACCCCCGTGTTAGGCAACAGTCCACGGAAGGCAATATCACGTAACTACTTCTGAGATCCTTGCAAGTGACCTTTTATCCGCACACTTAGGGGGAGCTCTCTCCTGCATTTTATGCTGCAAAGAAATATAAAATGCACGGCAATGACACCAATATTTTTAGCTTTCTCCACCTGATTAGCTAAGTGAAGATCCGAGCGTCTTGAGACATTGCGAAAAGGCGCCTGATTATAAGTGCTAATTATTCTCAACGTTGGCATGGTTTTATTTGTGGCAGTCATTGGAGGACGTACTGTATTTGAAACTGCGGTTTAATCAGAGGTGAGTGAAATCTAGAATCAATCCCGGAAAGTCAATGTTGTCAGCTCTGACCCCCCCCACCCCCGAGTTGCGTAGCCTCAGCCACTTTCTAATTAAAACACTCTTCCAATCATTAACTCCAGAACGTGGCTGATCCGTTCTCGCGAGCATGCGCCCTGCGCCGGTGCCTCTCTCTCTCTGCACACATGAGAAACATTATGACTGAAGCCGAACTGCAAGACATGAACCTTCATTCGCGGGAACGTAATAATTGCTCGCGAAATATTGTTTTTTTTTGTTTGCACTTGTGTGGACGTCTCGTAAATATATTTGGCATACGCTGGTGGGAAGGACAAAATGTATTTTGCGTGCGCAAGAATGTGTTTGCCAGGAATGAGGAATTGGCTCCACAGGAACTCGTGTGCCACGCAAGCAACGCTGTCGATCCAAGATTTCATTCCTGAGCGCAGACATTGCCGGCCAGGCGCCAATCTCTGCTGGTAGTGGCCACTACCAACAGCGGTGTGGAGACAAAGGCGGTGGTCAGGCATGCTGCTGAACTCCTGTGTGGTGCCAAATGTAATCGGCGCTCACCAACGGCAACTCGCCCCGTTGCAGTCCGTGAGGGATACATGGGAGGCCCGTTCCATCTGTCTCTGCGTTAGTAATGTCATCCTCCTCATGGCGTCAGATGGCACCAGGACTGACAGGGGGCTGAGCAGATCTGACGGAGCAGAAAGGCTGACAGTAGTTGGCTCATCGCCGTTCCCAAATGAAGCCACTTTGTGGGAACGATTGACTGCGTTTGGCAGGATCGCTGGCTAGTTGGCTGACCGATTGACTACCTGGCTGACCAGCTGAATGACTCGCTGACTGACTCGATGGCTCACTGGTTACCTGGCTGGTTAGCTCGCGTTCTAACCAGTTAGTTGATTGACCGGCTGGCTGGTTGGCTAGCTGATTGACCGACTGACTAGCTCTTGGCCATCTGGCTAGTTAAGTGGACAACTCTTGACGATGTGATTGGCTGGCTACCAAGAATGTACCATTCTTGCGGAGCGTTCAGTAATGTGGTCAATGCACGTGGGCACGGCAGATGCGTCAAACACCGCCGCAATATTTATGAAATACGAATATTAAGTCGCGTGAATTGTGGGTTTTTGAATTTTGCGTTAAGAACTCGGACCTCCTTAGCGAAGAGTACAAAGCAGCGTTAAAATCTCCGTTTGGCGAAAAAACAAATGTAACCAAATATTCCAATGTGGGGCAGCGTATAACAGAAATTTGAGTGTCAATTTTGTTGACTCCACCGCAACCCGAGTCCACGCGAGACCTTTACCGCCAGCATTTTCCCATTTTCCCTGCGTACAATTTCCAGTGCCCCCCCCCCCCCCCCCCCGGTCTTTCTCGCGGCTGTAAAGGCCACCGCGAGAGACTCGGCTGTGTGCCGTAGGATTCCATTACACGGATCGTGGCCAAATTCAACAGCCCCGTGCACCCGCCACTCGGTCTCGCTGGTCCCCACTGCCTCCGCACCCTCCTCCACTGCCGCTACTACCAACAACAACCACCATCATCATATACAACAACCACCACCAACGGTTGCAATGCTACCAACAACCCTGCCACTACCATCACCACCACTGTACGACTACCAAAACAACAACAACCAGAGCCCCTTCCCCGGCTGACACAACACAACCCTCCGACGGATCGACCGCATGCTATATCGGCGCCGCGTAAACACCGCCGGGGGTTCTGTGCCGACGAGGAGCGCGCTCGCTGGAGCCGCGCTGCGCCGTCGTGGGGCGGCCGCCGCGCGCAGAATGCCAATGATGGTGCCAGGGGCCGGGCCAGGCCGGCATCACGCGGCCCAATCCCCTCCCCCCGCCCGCAGCACTCCTCCTACTCACCGCCCCCCCACTTAAATTCTCCCCGCACATCCATCACCACCCTCTGCGGGGGTCCGTCATTAACCCCTTTCTCTCACCGCGCCAGGTCGCCTGACTGCGTGCCCCTGAAATGTAACGGACTGGACGAAAAGTGGGCACTTTTTTTGTACGCGGGTACTCCCCCCCCCCCCCCCCGTAAAATGGGAATAAAAAGGGGATGACCGCGGCTGAGACAGAATCGGTGTCTTCCAGATGTTACGTGGGAACAGCTGTTTGACTTTTTTTCTCTTTTCCTGGAGCGGGGTTTTCTGCGTGAAACGCACGGCGGAGAGGCATTGGACTGAGCAGCCACGGAGAAACATTTGCTGCGAATTCTGGCCATGGGCTTTTAGTACCGAGTACTCGCTTCCTATCGAGTCAGTCCCCTGGCATTGAAGCGGTGGCGAGTAATAATCGGGATCCTGTAGACCGGGATCCTGTAGACCGGGATCCTGTAGACCGGGATCCTGTAGACCGGGATCCTGTAGACCGGGATCCTGTAGACCGGGATCCTGTAGACCGGGATCCTGTAGACCGGGATCCTGTAGACCGGGATCCTGTAGACCGGGATCCTGTAGACCGGGATCCTGTAGACCGGGATCCTGTAGACCGGGATCCTGTAGACCGGGATCCTGTAGACCGGGATCCTGTAGACCGGGATCCTGTAGACCGGGATCCTGTAGACCGGGATCCTGTAGACCGGGATCCTGTAGACCGGGATCCTGTAGACCGGGATCCTGTAGACCGGGATCCTGTAGACCGGGATCCTGTAGACCGGGATCCTGTAGACCGGGATCCTGTAGACCGGGATCCTGTAGACCGGGATCCTGTAGACCGGGATCCTGTAGACCGGGATCCTGTAGACCGGGATCATGTAGACCGGGATCATGTAGACCAGAACCCTGTAGACCAGAATAGTCGTCGGTTGGAATTCAGCAGGCGCCATGTGATTATTACTGCGGAGTTAATAACCATAATAATGCTTGTGTTATTCGCAAGGGTTGGACCCATTGTGTCCTGGGGTTGAGAACGACGATCGCTCCAGGCCATTCTTGCAAATGAGACGATCCTGGTCTCACTTGGTTGAACAAAAAAATGTACTTGAATTTGTGATGGTCGTGCTGTAGTTGCTGCGCTCTTTGCTTCAAGCAGTCATCCTCGTCTTCGTTTGCCCTCATCCAGCAGTGGATTAACACAACAAAGGCCTTGCTGTGCCCTTCTATCCGCTGCCGTGGGATACACGTGGC